AGGTGGACATAGATGATTGGCATCTGTAGGCCAGTTTGGATGCCTGAGCTGGCAGAATGGCAATGTAGAGAGAGAGTGGGCCTAGGAAAAGTTGGGTGAGTCATGCCCAGACAAGTAAGGGGTGCATGTGGTGGACTCCATGTGGGCCTCAAGGTGAAATCGAAGGCAGATCCGAATCCTCAGGCATTGGTTCTTGGCAGTTTTGTAGTGAGCCCGCTGGTCGTTTTTGCAGACTGGCAGTTCCATTGCTGGAGGAGAATGACCTGGCTTCCCTCCCTTGCAGAGCTCCAGACTGAAGCCCAGAACCTGCATCCCAGCATTCAGGGAGCTGTGACCGGATATAGCAGGTGTCCTCTCAGGCTGCCCTGCCCCTGGGACTGGCTGGGGAAGAGCACCCTAGTAGGCGGGGACAGTCCTCCTGTAAGACTTCCCCAGGCCCTGGACCAGAGCCAGAGTTCCAGAGGTGCTAGACCTGACATTGGGACTGTCACAATATGCTGAACCAAAGTTCTGTCTCAAGGCAGGGCTCACAGGGCAACCCAGGGGATTCCTTTTTAGTTGCTGCTGTTTTTGTTTTTGTTAATTTTATTGGCAATAATGTTTGTCTAGTTGATCGGGGTAGGAAGGGTCGAGGATCTGGGGTAGTGAGACCCTTGTTTATACATTTTCTTCTTGTTCTTCGCATGTATAGTGGAGAGGGGGGTACAAGAAATTTTGGATATAAGGTAAAATGTTATTTCAGAAGAGCAATACATAATTTACTAATTTTGAATAAAGTCCGTCAAGCTTCCCAGCGGCTTCATCATCCAGAGGATTGAGGAACTGCCACCTGACGTCAACCCAAGTTTCCTTTCGTGGAGTGTTTTCTGGAGGTTTGTTCATGTATTCTTGATAGTTCTGAGATGCAGCTGATATCACTGCTCCATGGATGAAGGAATCTTTCTGAGGTCAATTGGCTGTCATAGTCTGCGTCTGAGTCTCCATTGGCCCAGAAATTTGCTGTCAAACTTCACTGGGGTAGTTGATCCATCCTCAGCATACCAATGAGTTCTATGGTCCAGCCCAGCCCAGGCCAACACATGCTTGATCCTCACGTACTGCAGGGGGAGCTGCACCCCAATAACCTCCACTGGACCGAATCCCTCAGCTCTGGTTCCTGTGCCTTCCATCATATGCAGTGGACCGGTCCGGTCTGCCTCACATCCCACTGGGGTCTTGTATACATCATTGGACATAAAAGCCTAACTCAATCCAAGCAACTTCACCCTCCAGCACACGCTCATGCCAGCGGGTGCCAACGCCTGTCCAGCCAGGCCAGCCCCAGTGCTGGTTCTCATGTTCACCAGTGGGAATTGCAGCCCATCAGAGAGGAGGCCACAACCCCTCCACTGGACCCACTCTTTGCCCCTGATCTTGCACTCTCTAGGTGGTTCTGTGGTCTAGCTAGATAGGGTCTGCCCTCTGTCCTAGTACTTGCCAGCTGATGCTGTGTCAAAGCCTAACCTGCTTGCCCTTATTCTGGCTCATGCCTGTACCAATGGATACAATTGGCTTCCCTAGCCTGGCTCTCCCCATAACCAGGTTCACATGTAGGTCAGCAGGTGTTGTAGCCCTGACCAGCCTGCTCTATTCCCAGTTCCAGCTCTCACTCTTGCCAGCATGAGAGGGGATCCAGCACTGGAGTCCCCATTTAACCTTACCAGGTTCAACCGCCTGTCCCAATTTTGCATGTGCTGGTGGGTGCTGTGGCCCGTCTGGCGTAGCCCGTGTCATCTCAGCATTTGCTGGCAGGTGTGATAGCCTGTCCTGGCTCAGTCTGCTCCCATTCCAGCTCAACCCTGGCACAGTCAGTCCCCATTCCTGGGGTCCTAGTGTGAAGGGGCCTGTGATGCAGCCAGACCCAGCCCAATCCGTACCCCATCCTGGCTCTCGGATCTGCCAGTGGGTGTTCTGAACTGGCCCAGCTTGGCCTGCTCCTATATCTGAGCCAAATGTATGTTGGCAGTTACTGTAACTTGGTCTGCCCTGAGCTGCTCCTTGCTTTGGTTCTTGTGCTCACCTGCAGGGACTGTGCCCTGACAAAGGAGTTCCCCAAGCTCCTCTATTAGGTTTCCTCTCAGTGGCAGATCTCGCACACAGTGGTGGGTTCTTCACCTGGGCTGACAGTCCACTTCTTGTCCTGGCAGGAACAGTAGCCTTGTCCATCTGGCCCATACCCAATCTGGTTCTTACTGTTGGGTGTTACAGCCCAGCCACACCTAGTCAAAACCTTAGTGACAAGTGCCTTGCAACATCCAGGTTCTGCATAAGCCAGGCTGCTGCCTGAGGAGCACTGTGGTTCTCACTCCCTTGGTATCAGTGCTAGAAAAGTAAGAGGCCAAAGAAAAGCAAAAGGCAGTGCTTCACAACCAGACACTCAGGGTGGCCCCAGCTGGGGCCTGGCTGGAGTACAAGTGCCAGGGGCATAGGAACACTTGCCTCCATTTCTCTGAAGGTAGAGAGCACCCAGGTGGAGTTCTCCCCAAGAATTTGCTAATTGCTTCAGCTTTGCTGACGATTTCCCCAGCTACCCTCTCTCTCCATGTCTGAAACTTGCCTGGTTCCTCCTTATGCTAAGCCTTAAGCATGAAGGTCTCTTGTGAGCCAGGAAAAGTCTAGAAGCAGTAACCACAATTTTTCTGGGATCAAGTGGGTCTGCTCCTCACGCAGCAGGTGGCAGTAGGCCCTGAAATCTGTAGGTGGTGGGCTCTGGCACCAGCAGTTCCTAGTCTTAAATGTCAGAAGCCTGTGCTTTGGACCAGCCTAGTTTGCTTTCCCAGACCAATAGCAGGGAGCTGGATTGTTAGAGAAGCGAGGACTAGAACTGGTGCCCACATGGCATGCTGATGCCACAGGTGGAGGATTAGCCATTGAGAGTGCACCACAACCCATTGCAGGCTCTGTTCAAACTATATATAAACAATTGAATTTTAGGATTCACTGTGGTAGCCTAGCAGTGGTCCTTGGCTTGCACGTGCCAGGATCCCATATGGGCCAGTTCATATTCTGGTTGCTCCACTTGTCTTCTAGCTCCCTGCTTCATGCAGTAGAGGATGGCCCAAAGGCTTGGGACCCTGTATCCACGTGGAAGATATGGAAGAAACCTCTAGTTCCTGGCTTTTGATTGACTCAACTCTCGCCACTGTGGCTGCTTGAGGAGGGAACCAGCAGATGGAAGATCTTCCTCTCTGTCTTTCCTTTTCCTTGTAAATTTGCCTTTCCAATAAAAATGAATAAATATTTTTTAATGCAATCGGAGTTTCATTTGGTAGAGAACTACAAACTTTCTACTACTATGTCATATCTGAGTTGGTATCTGAGTTGATTTATATCTCATATAAATCATTGTAGTAACATTTCTTGAGAAACGTCATTTGAGTTATTGCTTGTTTGGATTTTTTTTTTCAATGCTAATAAGGATAGAATCTGGAAGAGTTACTAAAATTGTGATTTTTCTGGACAAAAAGGCATGTGATTCAATGACAAGAATGGGCTATTCTCAGGACAGTTGGTACTCGCATCTGGGCCCTGGCTTGGACTCATGGCTCCTCCTGTGTGATCCTCTCTGCACATGTTATATGGTGCCCCGCTGTGGCCACCCTTGAGAATTACCCACTTTGCTCTATCTCTATCACTTGGTGGTTTGTTTATGTAATTGACAAGGATGTATGCCCATGAGGATCACTGATATGTGTGGGACAAATATCTCCAATGTTCCCTTTGTTTCCTTTTCTCCTGTATTGAGTGCAGACAGGAAGGCAGGAGTGATCCTCTCTCAACTGCCAAACCACAGCAGTGCCCAGGGATGGGGGGAGTGTCCACTGAATGTCGTCCTAGACACTGCGCTGTAGAGAAGAACGATCCTAGGGTATTGCCTGAGTAGTTTGGATAGTTTCAAGACACTATTGGTTTCATTGTTCCTGAGCTGGGGAGTATTGCAAGGTGAACTGGCTGATCTACCTCAGTGCATCCACTCACACAGACACTGGCTGCCAAAGCTCAGCCTGAAGTGTTGCCCAACACATCCTGTGCTCCATCTTCTTGCAAGGCATTTGCTGTCTTCTCAGGTTCAAAAATGAGGTAGCCATCTTGTTGCCCACATGCACCTGGGCATGCTGTCCACTGCACAGGCATGAGCCATCCTGGAGGCCCAGTCCCAGCAGCACACGCACACCAAGGTGGGACCACAAATGCTATGATCCTCCCTGTGGTGGGAATTTTGAATGCAATGGTCTAGTTAAATAGGGAATCCCCCCAAAAACCTCACGTGGGATGTCCCCAGACCTGATTCTTACATGTGCCAGCCATCCAGGGTGTGGTTCAGTCATCAGCTTCATCAGCTCATGCTCACACTGGTGATTGTAGCTGCCTGCTCTGTTCCACCCCAAGCTGCATGTCCAATGCAAACCTCCTGGTGTTGTGGTCTTGCCCAGCCCAATCTGCACAGACCTGGCCCTAATACTGCACCGCACCGGGATTGCCATGCATTCTAGTTGGGACGACCCACCTGTGTCCACTCTCTTTGAATTCTGGGTGAACCTTAAGGGCCTTAAAACTACCCTGGAAAGGCTGGTTTTCTCCTCCAACTGCTCTCACACACAGAGGTTGAGTCCTGCCCCAGATCTGCCCTTTTGTCGGACTCAACCCTTGCACTGAGGGTTCTCAATGATTTGGTGACTCCTGCAGCGGCAAAACCACCAGGGACAGTAATTTGCTTTCAGATATGTGGTTTCAGAGAGTGTGAGGGAAGTCCCTAATTTATAGCTGCGAGCCTAAAACCATCTCATGGCCCGCCTACTCTTCAGCCCCGCCCTTATATGTTTTCTATAAAAGCCCGGAGAACAAGGCATGTATCACATCTTTGAAGATTTGTTCCTTCGTTTCCGCGGCCACAAGAGTCCCTCATCGCCAGCTCCAAGCCTCGGAAGCACAACTGGGAAATGAACTTGAAGAAAACCGAAATGGCCAGGAGGAGTGAGGGCTTCTCGCCCTGGCGGTTCTGGTGTCTTTTCCCGGTGCTGTGGGGTGCACTGCAAGCCGCAGGTAGGGCGGTGCGCACGGAGGGAACGGTGGGAGGTCCGGGGGCGCGGTGGGGTGCGGGGCGGGGTGCGGGGTGCAGTGTGGGGCACAGGTCGCCGGCGAACGAGGGGATTAGCGTGGATCAACAGGTGGATGTCCCGAAGGCATACTGTATTCAGAGCGGCACTTCTCCACACGGGGAGTGCGGGACTGCCTGGAAGAATTTATCTGTAGGGATCATCTTCTTTAAGGCGCCCACGAGCGGTCCATGGGCTCCAGAACTTTCTGATCGTGGTCACGCATTAGGCGGACAGATGATTGCGGTATTGTGGACAAGGAGGCGAGTGGGACCCGGGGCTGGTGAATTATGGCCCCGGTGGGCACTCAGGATGAAGAGGAGGCGATGAATGACTTGTTCAGAAAGTGCCTTAAACACGGAGGAAATGCAGTAAACTTGGGCAACAGCGCCTCCGGTGGTTGGAATGAAGTGCTTGTCAGGACCAGGGCGCTTTAGTCCTGATCTGAGCAGAGAGGCCAAGCCGAGAATGGGAGACCATCTGAGCAGGGGTGTGCCAAGCCTTGGGCCCCAATGTGGGAGCAGGATAGGACAGAGGAAAGTGAAATTTGGTGCTGCTCATGGTGAGGAAGACCATAACCACGAGGAAGAGGAGGAGGGAACAAAAGCTTCAGGGAAGAATTCTGTAAGAGATAAACCTCTAAAAGAGCACAGAACTCATGCCACAATAGGAGAGACAAAACCATAAAGAATCCTTGCAAACAAGCAAACAAACAAAAACACAACAACGCCGAGGAACCCGAAGGACCCCCATCTGTAGCAGGCATTTAAGCCTACAGGCCAGAAAGTGGAGGCCAATTCCTCAGTTAAGGGGAGAATCGACCCTGGGGTGGAGGGAAGCTCTGTAAGAAAACTGTGTAGGGACAGTGTGGTGCTGTGGCAGGCTTGGGCCTGGTTCATGTCCCGCCTGGGTAAGGCCTGGGAAAGCAGCAGAGGATGGCCCAAAGCCTTGGGCCCCTGCACCCACATGGGAGACCCTGAAAGCTGCTGGCTGCTGGCTTCTTCTTCTTCTTTTTTTTTTTTTTAATATTTATTGTATTATGTGACACAGTTCTATATAGGCACTGGGATTCCTCCCAACCCTCCCCCCGTGGTGGGCTCCTCACCCCCGTTGCGCAACCACAGTTCAGGTTTAGTTGAGATTCCTTCATTGCAAGCATACACCAAGCAGAGTCCAGCATCTCATTGTCCGGTCAAGTTCAGCGGCTTCTTGGGGAGACCCTCCCCGTTCCAAAGGCAGAGCCAACAGAGTAGAATCTCGGTCAATTAAAAGCCCCAACATAACATCAGCAACAATATATAACGTTAAGGGATGAATTGACAAAGTATTGAGCAACCAATTTGTCAAAATTGGGTGCATGGTCTTAACAACTTCCTATGACTATTTCAATGACATTTCAACAATTGAGGTGCGAAACAGTGTTAGGAAGGGTGTGCAGAGAAATCTTCCATACCTTGGTGAGGAGTACTTAATCCCCGTGTCCTACCTAGTAAGGTGTGTGTGAGTCCATGCTGACCAAGACTTCCTTGTTGTTCTCTGCCTATCCATTCCAATTTGTGAGTGTGTGTGTGTGTGTGTGTGTGTGTGTGTGTGTGTGTGTTGGGGGGGTGCTCTGGAGCGTCCCTCATGACCATGAGAGGGTGGGGACCCGAAGTTGGAGCCAAGTAAGAACCAGAGATAGTTTCTCTCCCTAGTCCCAATGGGAGTCCACTGTTCTGTTTCTGAAGACCGCTCAGATTTCCTGGTTGTTGTTCCGATGGCCTTGGATCCTATGATGAAGGATTCAGCTTCTTCCATCCCGTGTGGTAGGTCCAAAGGCGGGCAGGGGAGGATATTCTCTGAGTTCTCGGCCTCCGAAGGCATTCCAATCCCCCGTGGTCTCTTTGGCAGTTGGGATGTGGTCCTTGGCACCCATAATGATAGCCCTTGGTGGGGATCCGGGAGACTCCAGGTTTGGGACACAAGCCTCCTCCTGTCCACCTGCTCTACTCTGTGGTCCCCCACTGCTCTGTGCACATGACCTCCTGCCAATAGGTTGTCAGGGTTGCTCTTGATTCCCCCTGTATGTCTTTGTAGTTTTACTGTTGTCTAATGTTGTCTTGAATCTATTGTCTACAAGTTACCTCTTATGTGCCTGAGAGGTTACACTACACGGCTTCCTCACACGTTCACAGGAGATGGAAGGTTTCTTTGCTCTCCTGCCCAATTTCTGAGTAGTAAAAGGTTTTGAAAATATATTTGGTTATACAATTTTTTAAAAAGATTTATTTTATTATTATTATTATTTTTATTGGAAAGGCGGATATACAGAGAGGAGAGACAGAGAGGAAGATCTTCCCTCCGATGATTCACTCCCCAAGTGAGCGCAACGGCCGATGCTATGCCAATCCGAAGCCAGGAGCCTCTTCCGGGTCTCTCACGCGGGTGCAGGTTCCCAAAGCCTTGGGCCATCCTCGACTGCTTTCCCGGGCCACAGGCAGGGAGCTGGAAGGGAAGCAGGGCCGCCAGGATAGAACTGGCGCCCATATGGGATCCCGGGCGTGCAAGGCGAGGACCTTAACCACTTGCGCCACCGCACCGGGCCCGGTTATACAATTTTAAAAACACATGGGTTGAGACCAAATTAGGTAGAGGTCCATCGGGGGAGATTTACATCATCAGGAGTCTTTAGGGTTGATTCATGTACCCAAGGCCTGAAGGTTCATCATGGAGCTTTCTAAGCAGTAATCATAGAAACCAAATCCCACAGCCCCCATGCGGAGGCTGGAAGACTCTTTGGTTTTCTTTTTGCTCCTGCTTGTCATTTGTGTTTTGAGCCTGTCGGGGCCTGGGGCTCACCTTTCCACACAGGCAATGGGAGATGAGTTGAGGCTCCTGTTGGCGTTCGGCGCTGAATCTCATCCATGGCTATGGCCAAAGCTGCTGGCTTCTTCTTGACTCAAGTCTGGCCCAGGGGGGCTGTGTGCACAGTGAACCAGCTGATGGAAGACCTCTCTTTGTCTCTGTCCTTCTCTGTGTGGATCTCTACTTTCTTTTTATTTTTTTTAAATATTTATTTTTATTGGAAAGGCAGATATACAGAGAGGAGGAGAGACAGAGAGGAAGATTTTCCATTTGATAGTTCACTCTCCAAGTGGCCACAACAGCTGGAGCTGAGCTAATCCAAAGCCAGGACTAGGAGCTCTTTTGGGTCTCCCACGTGGGTGCAGGGTCCCAAAGCTTTGGGCTCTCCCGACTGCTCTCCCAGGCCTCAGGAGGGAGCTGGATGGAAGCAGGCTGTCGGGGTTAGAACTGGCAGCCAAATGGGATCCCAGTGCACTCAAGATGAGGACTTTAGCCTTTACACTATCATGTTGGGGCCCAGAACTCTACTTTCAGTAAATAAATAAATAATATTAATCTTGTAAGACAAGAACATATGGAGTTTGCTTTAATTGTGCTTCTGACTTCATTTCTCTAACTGTTGATATCTGACTGTCCTCTTTGGAATGGGGAGTGAGATCATTCCCTTCCATGTTTGATAAATGTTGTCCATCCGTGACAAGGATATGTTATTCAAAATGTCTGTTTAGTTGTTAAAGATGGAATGTGATCTTTGCTTTTTGTTTCTTTTTGAGATTTCTGATTTGAAAGTAGAGTTGCTTAGAGAGGGAGAAACAGAGAGGTCTCCCATCCACTGGTTCAGTCCACAAAAGCCACAATGGCCAGAGCTAGGCCAGTGTGAAGCCAGGAGCTTGTGGTTTCATTTACGAGTTCCATGTGGGTGCCTGGTTCAAACACAGGGGTCATTTTCTGCTGCTTTCACAGGCACATCCACAGGGAGCTGAACCAGGTTTGGAGCAGCCAGGACATGAACTGGTGTCTGTTTGGGTTTATCTGTTAGGCCACAGCGCTGGTCTCTGATTGTTTTCCAAAAGTGTTTTCTGCAGCTTTGTATGCCACAGTCATGCATCTCATGTTTAGCACTGTCTCTTGAGAACATCAAGAGCCACATTGGGCGGCTGTCTTAGATCGGGTAGGTCTGTGCAAGTGTGCTCCATGTTGTTGCCCAGGTGATTAAATGTACAACAACCAGTTCTCACAATGTAGCCCCCTTTTCTTCAGAGCTGCTTGCTTGCATCCAGAAATTGGGAAGGCACTGTCAGCAGAAATTTTAGAATGTCCTAGAAAATGAAATGGAATTGCCTGCCCATCTTAGACTGATGAAGTCAGCATAAGAGATGGCACAGATTGGATGGCTTGCACAGAAATGTGCTTTTGCCTGATCTGGAAATCATAGATACCCAGAAAAAATAAAAATATTGTGAAAGATATTCTGTAGGAATTTATGTTACTGTTTTCCCTTAAATATATTATGGATATAATTATTGTATATTAAAAAACTCTATCCCGTAACAATTGATAAAGATACATTTGCAGGAGAGTTTGTTGACTTAATGTTTTAAATTTGCTTTGTAGAGAAAGGTACTCGTTGCTACTTTGCTGTTTTGAAATGTTGTACAATGTTGAATAATTGTACAAACACCTGTCCACAATGTGTACTTGATGTTGCATGATAGGTTTAGCATGATAACTCAGCATCAAAGCAGAGGGTTTCCATTCAAGATGAAGTAGCACAGGTCTGACAACTTTTCCATATTAACCCTTCATTTTCTTATGCCAGCTGAGATAGCATCCCCAGGATGGTTTGAGAGTGGGTTCACTTGGCAAGAACTGTGTACCAGTGATGCACCTTGGCTTTCATGGGGTGTTGTGGCTTTTTCAGAGCACCTGTGGTACCCTGACACTGGTTTGGCACTTGGTGCTGCTGAACACTTTTATCTATGCTCCCATGAAACTGTGTGTGCCAGCACTGGTATACTGCCATGTGGGATGTGTGGGCTGCTTATCATGTCCTTATGTTAGGATGAATCTATGTAGAGAAGTTCTGAGATCAAAAGCCAGACACTGGGTATTGAATGTGAAGGCAGAAAACAAATCAAAAGGAAAAAGTTACTATTAAAATTTGGTTTTGGTCCCAGCATGATAGCCCATTGGCTAAATCTTCACCTAGCATTTGCCTGTTTCCCACATGGTAAATGGTTCATGTCTCGACTGATTCACTTCCCATCTGGCTCCCTAGTGTGGCCTGGGAAAAACAGTAGAGGATGGCCCAAGAGCTTAGGACTGTGCACCTGCATGGGTGACCCAAAGGAGATTCTTGGTTTCTGCCTTCAGATTGGCTCAGCTGTTGTGAGCACTTACGGAATGACCTAGCACATGGAAGAGCTTTCTCAATGTTTCTCTTTTTCTCAGTGTGGATGGCTTTCCAATAAAAAATAATACAAATGACAGAAAAAAATTTGCTTTTAATTCCTTCTGTGTCTTCACCAAATGACTTTCCACACAGGCTCAACAAATCTACATGAAGGGGGTTTGTTGGGCATGTTTTAGCCTTAGTCTGTCCTGTGTTAGGGTATTGTCTGTGATGGATAAGACCACATGTGTACGGAAACTAAAGTGTACAAAAGTGTTGGAATTCATCACTTTTGCAATATGAGAAGTAATCACATATGGATATTGGCTCTGTGACATTCCGGTGCAGCCTGACCTGGCTACAATGAGTGGCACAACGTCCTAGGGCCTCAAGGTTTGTAGCAGCACAAGTATAAGTTATGTTGAATACAAATTATCATGTGTATCTCACGAGATGGGCTGCTATTCCATGACAGGGTAGTACTGCCTAGATTGTCCCAATTCCTTTTGGAGAGGGAATCAATGGGTTTTAAAAAATGCAAACTGTCTAAAACAAGATAAAATGAAAATGAGGTTGTTTGTGTTTTACATTTTCTGTAATACAAAAAGAATCTCAGCTGCCTTCTTTAGAGAAATTGCTGGGCTGATTCTAGAACCCAAGGAAATAAAAAAGCCAAGCAGACCACCTTGCAAGAGAAGGACGAAGCTGCAGAGGCTTTCTTGTGTGTTAGGGAGGGCTGAAGTTGTCAGAGCAGGAATGGCCAGAAGGCGGAGAGAACAAGTGGGCCCTCCTATGAAGCACAGCACTTGCTTAGCCCAGCTGAGAAGTTGTGCTGAGCTAGAAAGTAAGAGTGATAAGGAAAGAGACAGAGAGCATTGCATTGAGTTCTTTATTGAGAGACCTACAAGGTTGTCAGGTGTAGATAATCTTTTTATTAACCTTTGCTGGCGAGCATGCTTACTGCTCAAAAAGCAATAAAAGCCAAAATGTGTTGATTCCTCAGAGGAGAAGCAGGCTGTGTTGCAAGGCCGCAGAGAGACCAGGTGGCTGGAGTTGTCTGTACCCACTCCTGGGAGTATGTTTAAGATAGATATCATCTCTTCACCCTACACACACACACACACACACACACACACACACACACACACACACACACGTGATAGAGCTTCTCATTTTCATAATAATTGCACCCAGTGGAGCAGAGGAGGTCAAGAATACAGCATGTGTTCACCCCACAACCCCAAACACTGTTTTCTTCCCTTTTTTTTTTTTTGATTTTTATTTTGACATTTTTTACATAGTTAATTAGGGTAAGCAGGTTCAAGGGCTACAGGAAAGTGGATAAGACTAGTATGTTTTCCATATTGTTACCTTCATGTTTAAAGGGGGGTATTTAAGGGAGAAGGCCCACCCGTTTTCCCACCCTCTCCAGGTACCGGATGTAGGGCATGCTCTGAGGTTCTTGCTCAAGTGGTTTTGATATTTCAACAGTTATGAATTGCTGTCAGTGTTGCCACTGCAAGCACTATGAGGTCTTTGAAAAATCCACTGATTGACATAGTCCATCATAGCTGAGATGGTTGGTTGACCTGTTCTGTCTTCTCTCTTTTCTTGGTTAGGGTTCTGAGTCCAGCATTTAGATTAGGAAGATCTCCAAAGAAACTTCTTGTATGTGCTAGCAAGTACAGGGCCTGGCACCGTCCATCGCTCCAATCAGCTGGTGGTTGCAGTTGCTGGGTTGGTTCTGTTTTCACTCCCGACTTCCACTGGAACCAATGGGTGTTGCAGTCCAGCCTGGTTCTGCCCTGCACATACGTGGCCCTCACATAAACCAGTGGGAGCTGCAGCCTAGTTGGAGCGACCCGCAATAACCCCCACCAGGCCCACCCCCTACCCTGGTTTGCCAGTAAGTGTAGCAGTAGTCCAGTCTGTCCCACACCCCATTCCACCCCAGCCGCTATCTTAGTTTTATGTCCTCCTGTGGAAGTGGTAACCCAAGAGGGATGAGCCCACTATTTCCCTCCCAGGCCTCTCCCACTCCCAGATTCCAGTTGATGCTGCGTCTAAGGCCAAACAACCCTCGCCCACTTTAATTTTGTTTGCACCAGTAGGAATAATCTGCCCAGCCCGGCTTTTCCCTGATCTAGTCCACATGAGGCATGCAGGTGTGGTAGCTCTGCCTAGTCTGGTCTGCCCCCATCCCAGCCTATGCTCTCTTGCGGAAGTAGCTGTCCAGCAAAGGAACCCTCCCTTATTCCCCTGCCGGCTCTGCCCACTTCCTTTCTTGTTCTCAGGCTGGTTGGGCGCTGCGGTCCCTTCTGGTACAGGCAACCTCACCTTCGCATTCCATAATGTGCACTAGTCTTTGTTGTGACCGACCCTGGGTCGACCCACACTGGTGCCTGGATTTGCCAGTGGATGATGTGGACAGATTCAGCCTGGTCTTGCCCCCACGTCTGCCAATTGTATGCCAGTGGGTAGTTTTCCATGGCCTTTTCTGGGCTGTTTCCTATCATGTTTCTTGCGTTTACCTGCTGGGTCTGTGTCCTGCCAGAGGAGTTGCCCAGGCTCCTCCATCAGAACCTCTCCCAATGCCAGGTTTCACGCTTACCAGTGGGTCCATGAGCCAACCCTACTCAGTCCACCTCCTGTCATAGCAGGAACTGTGGCTTTTCCTGACTGGCCTTCCACCCAATCTGGTTCTTGCTGTTGGATGTTCCAGCCCAGCCATGGTTTGTCCATACCCACGTATGGCTCACACATGGCTCAGTAGGGGTTTGAGACCTTGCCTAGTCCATCGCACATCTGCCCTGGTCCTCCAGGACACCAGGGGGTGTTGGGGTCCGGCCCGGTTCGGTGCATCCAATCCCAGTCCACAGTTGTGCCAAGGGAGACTACAACTGTTTCCAGATCAGAACGCAGCCCCCCTTCCAGGCCACGCGCCTCTTGGTGGGAACCTCAGCCCAGCTAGGGATGTCCCCTTTGCTCCCCAACCGGGTCTGTTCCCAGCCATAGGTCACTTGCCTGCCAATGGATGCTCTGACTCAGCTTGGCACAGCCCTTCCCCTGTCCCGAACGCTGCCATAGACACTGTGGCTTAGCGTTCCTGGCTCCCGCAGACCAGTAGGTACAAGAGCCTAGCTCGGCATGACCTCTGCTCCCTCCTGGTTTCTAGTTTTACTTGTGGGCTAAGGTTTGCTCAGTCGTGCCTGATCTACTCTGTTGCATTACCAGTTGACACATTAGCCAGCTGTTGGAGCTACTTTTGCAGGACAGGCCCCAAGCCATAGCTTCTACATGGACTGGTATTTGGTGGTTGGCATTATTAGTGATTACAAGTTTTACAAAGGAAGAGTTACTGCCTGTTTCAGGTCCAAGAAGCACAACGGCTTCAACCTGGAGCTAATTAAGCAGCGACTCAAAGAACCAAATCCCCAGAGCTCCCTGGCTGGGCGGCCAGCAGGCGGAACCTGGCACCAAATGGCGCACTAGCCGCACGGGGAACGGCTCACCATGTGCACATGGTGGCTGTCTGGGACCCAGGCATGAGATGCCCCGTCCTGAGACCCACCAGCTGCCGGGAGGCTGCTGGAGGTTTAAATAACCCAGGCCCAAGGTCGCGCCCCTCCCAAATCCCATTCACCACCCCATGAAGGCGGCGGGTGGGTCCCGGACCTGCCCAGTCCCGGAGGCCTCCCCCCTCGGTCTACTCACCCTGAAGGAAACAGCCTCTGGAACCCGGCAGGCCCAGGAACAGCTCACCGTACGCACATGGCGGCTGTCTGGGATCCAGGCATGAGACGCCCCGTCCTGAGACCCACCCCCAAACACTGTTTTCAAATTCCCTTGTTAAAACTTCTCATGAGACATAGCCACCAACCACGCCCACCTCACCCTCCAGGCTCCCTGCTCTGAGGGGCTGTTCCTGCTGAAGGAGCCCTGCCTGGCTGCTGTCCTGTGAGCTTTCCCTTTGGCCCATCATCCTCTGCTCTTCCTCGTATACGTCTGTGCTAGAAACTGCCCTCTCGCTGTGTTCATCGGCCTCATGCTTCACAGCGTGCAGCTAAAGATTCTGGGAACCAATAGGTTGCATGGGCCTGGATTTGAAGTTCTCCACATTGGAGCTGTAACAGGGCCATGGACAAAGAACCTGTGTCCTGAATCATTCCCTGTCCACTTCATGAAGTTGTGCATTTGTAGTTATGTGGTTCTGCTTGGAGTTGCAGGCGTGTTTGTGTCAAGGGTCTCTGTGTAACTGAGTTCTCCTGTTTCCACAGGATTTCGGGTGGAGATGGCAGGGAGGACTCAGACCGTGTTTCTCAACGACAACATCACCATCATCTGCAAGATTCCTGGTTCTCCCGCTCTGGACATCAGCACTGTGGGTGTTGTCTGGTTTGTATGGAAGAAAGGAACAGAGGAGAAAGTTCCTGTGTTTGAGTATTATGGAGATCACGAGAAGGCATACCGAACTGGAGCCAACATCTCTCCGGAGAAGCTGATGAGGGGAGAGGCCTCACTGCACCTGCCAGCCATTCAGCTCAGTGATGCTGGAGAGTACTTCTGTAAGGTGGTGGTCACCCCTGAGATGGATGAGAAAAGTGTGCAGCTAGAAGTTGTGGGTGAGTGCCTGAGGGCAATGCCCGGGATCCCGTGGGGCTGCAGGTGCAGAGTGGGATGGATGTTAGAGGCTGGTCTGGGGACCCACCGTGGGCTAGAGAGCTGGGCTTTGGTGGGTGGTGAGATGACTCTGGGCAAGGTGTGAAGCCTCTGAATCTCGGTGCCCTTGCTAGAAACAAATGTGATGGCATCTGCCCAGGAGGAGTGGGGAGAGATGGCATGTTGGGAAGATGCAGGTGAAATGTTGGATGTGCCCCTGTCTATGACACATAGTGAGTGGAAGACAGCAATAGTGGTTATTGCATTATTCCCACTGGGTGTGGGTTGTCATTTTATCTGAGCAGGTTCCTTGGGGAGGCAGCTGGGAAAGAGAGGGTTGCTAGACTGTGGTCCCCTTCAATTTTTGTGCTTCTAAGTGAGTGAGATAAACATTTAGCATCCTTGCACCTGGATTTCCCATTTCCAAAAAGGGATTCTTAGGAAGATGTTATGCAAGATGTGCAGTGGAGTGAGGTATGATGAAGCCTGACAGGACAGACACATCCCCAAATTCCATCTTGAGCTCCAGTGTGGTGTGTTACCCAGCAGTCTGGTGAATAGATGCTGGTGAGATGGGGAGAAAAGGAAACTCTTGCAGACAGTGACATGAAAAGTGTTTGAGCCCTTGTGGGGAACAGTAGGAAACGTCTTCAGATCAACTGAAATAGGAGGTCAGGGTTGGGCCTAGCAGTTAAGATGGCTGCATGTGGGGTCCGTGTTGTGTCATGGTGTGTTGTGCCCCTGGCATCCCTTAAGGTTGCTGGTTTAGTGCAGCTGCACCTCTCCCAAAGTAGTTCCCTGCTCTTGTTCCTGGGAAAGCAGCCCAGTAGACCTGAGTGCTGGGGCTCCTGCCATCCATGAGAGACCCAGGATGGAGGAACTGGCTTGCATCTTCAGCCTGGCTTAGTCCTGGTTTGTGTGTTTATCTGGGGACTTAGCAATGTATGGGAGCATGCATTCTCTCTCTTCTGTTACTTTGCCTTTCATATGCATATATACATAAATCTTTAGACATGTAGAATGGAATGTTTCATAAGCATTAAAATGGAGAGACTCAGAAGTGATGGTAAGTAAAATGAGCCATCCACTCACTTGCTACTTGTTTCTCTCATATGTAAAGTTAAGAGCCCTGCATTTGGACAACAGAGCTGATGCTCCCTGGCTGCACTTAGTGGTAAGTGGCTGGGGCAGCGTGAGATGAATGAAGACTGGTTGGCTTGAAGAGCACAGGTGGTTTCCTCCCATTTGAAGGCTGCATCTGAGGCAAGGTGTCCGTATTGTTGGTTCTTTTGAGTCCTCTGGCCTTCTTCTCTCTGTGTCTTCCTTAGCAGACTATGGTGTGTTTCTCTTATAGAGTCTGGGTGTGTCTAATATATATATGCACGCGCGTGTGTATGTGTGTAAGCCTAAAGGCTATATGTGTGTCTATATATTTCTCTCTATATTTTTATTTGCATGTGTGTTTAAATTTTTATTCATTTATTTGTGAGGCAGAGAGAAAAAGAGAGAGAATGATACCTTACTAGTTGACTTTGAATTGTGTGATGCAGGCAGTAGGCCAGCTGGGAGCTGACTCAGTCCTCACCCCTATTGGGTTGAATGGACCCTGCCCTTGAACCATCACCACTGCCCCCTAGAGCCTGCAAAAGCAGATAACTGAAATCAGGGGTTGGTGCAGAGACTGAGCCTGAGTACCGTGGTGTGGGCACAGGCATTCTAACCTGCACCTGAACCAGGAGACCGAATGTCCCCTTTGGCCATGTGTACAGGAATGTACGTCATTATTTTAATCTCCAAGTTCCGTTGATCACTACTGTTCTGTAGACAAGTAATTGATTTTTGTACATGGGCTTCTTACCTTGAGGCTGCTGCTATCCTTACTAGTTCTCAAAGCCTTTTTTCTTGTTTTTTTGGTTGAATCTTTGTGATTGTTATCTATAAATCACATTATCTATGAACGAATATAGTTTCATCATGTTTTCAAGTCTGTGTACTTTTATGTTCCTATCCTATTTTACTGGTCTGGAGTTCATTGCAATGTACTAGGAATAGAGTGTAGAGGGAGCATCCTGCCTGCTCCTGAAATTTTTTACTTTCTTCCTCAGGATGTTGGGCATAGATTTTAGGTAAAAGTTCTTTTTCAGCTTGAGGAATTTCTCTGATGCCACACATTGTTCTTTGTTTTGTTTTGTTTTTGTCATATGGATGGATATTGCTCTTGCCTAACAGTGATTCTGCCATCTCTAAGTGGAGCTGCCATCTGATCATGGTACATGGCCTTTGTATTCCCAGCCATCACAGGGGAGTCCAGCCATTCTGCAAGGGCAGGGCACACTTGTCATCCTCAGGACACACTTTGATGGATGTGTGCTTCCAGGGAGTTGCTTTCACCACGTTTCAGTGAATCTGGAATGACCAGACCCTCAGTTCACATGGCCAGACCAACCTTCCATGAATTCAGATGATATAGGCTTCATCTGGATGTGTTGTTTCTAACTGAAACTATGTAACAGAAATTAGGAATCAATGAGCATTGTGTCCCACAACAGTGCTCTAAGACTTTCTGCAGATTCTCCCAGATGTGTAGGAAGCAAGATGTGTGAGGAGACTCAGCTGCACTCATACTGTGAGCATTGGGCTCTAGCATGGTGGCATGCTGCTGGCACTGGCCTTGACATTTAGTCAAAGCAGAGTCTGATTCAGTTCACTTGTTCTTCCTGAGGTGTTTCTCTGTGTCAGACATCAGGTGGGTAATAAGCTTGTCCTCCCTTCCCTAGAGTCTGCTGTGGCTAGTAGGTGTTTCTCAGTCAGGTAAGCTGGGCATGGCTGCAGAAGTACCTGTGCCCCAGTGTCCATCTGTACAGTGAGTGTGGCTATCAGGTACTGGGTTTTGTCTTCCTACAGAAGCAGTGAGGTGCAGATGTGTGTGTGTGGTAGGAGTCAGTGAGTGAGGGCAGGAAGAGTTGAAGTCTCATTCCAACTCAGTGTGTATCTTCTCTCTGGCAGCTACTCCAACCAACAAAATATTTCAGGACCAGGTCCTGGAGAACTCAAAGCAATACACACGCATTGTGTGCAAGTGCAGTGGTTTCTACCCAGACTCTGTGAACATAACATGGAAGAACTGGTCCCCGAAAGCGGCTCAGCCTCTGCCGATATCTGAAGGCATCTTCACTGGTCATCATGTCCAGAATGAGGATGGGACCTTTAATGTCACTAGCTATGTGACACTGAAGTCTCCTCTGGAAGATGCTGGGGCCGTGTACCAGTGTGTGGTGAGCCACATTTCCCTACACAGCACCCAGAGACTCAACCTCACACTGAGTGTGACAGGTAAGCCTCTTTCTGGACATGTTCCCTACTCCACGATTTGAGGCAGTGCAACTTACAGCTTAGGTTCACAGGCATGCCAGGTGCTGCACTGGGAATTGAAGGGGAAGGAGGTAAAGCATGGGTGGAGGGAGCAAGCTGGGACAAGACCCAGCTAAACCAGAGTCAGCAGCCGAGACTAAGTCCCTCTCCTCAAAGGCAGAAGGTATGGTCAGCTCGAGTAGAGAGAATGGTCCAGTGGAAATGGGCTACTCATCAGCTTGTGTCTCCTGGAAATTGGTTCTCAATGGTCTTTGTGGCATGGGGTGGTAAGCTTGCATGCCTCTATGGGGATAGGGACAGGATTGTATCCAAATGCCCTGAAGAGAAGGGGTGGGCCCGGGTCAAGAAGCAGCCTTGCCACATCCCTCCCAGCAGGACTAGGTCTATTGTAAGTGGTTTACTGGTAGAAGGCAAAATAGTAGTCCTATGTTTGTCCTGAGCCTGTGCCTGGGCAGAACATAGGTCAGATCTTTAGTGCAACACAGCTCAGCTTCTGCAAAATCCCTCCAGCTGTTGTTGGTAGTGGGAGGGTAGTCATTGAACTCATCATGATTGCCCTGGTCATGACTGTGGTGTTGTTGGGAATGACTCTGCCAGTGAAATTCATCTTCTTGGTTCCAGGGGAGTAAGGAAGGCAGAGTTCCAGGGGTAGGCGGTCTGGGTGTGCCAGATGAGACCTTGGATGTTCACAGAGGGAAGAAGGAATTGTTCTTGGGCATACGGGTATTTGTGGTGGCTTGTTGCAAGGAAGTGCATGCAGTGTGTGGGGGAGGCACATGGAGTGGGAATGTCCTGTGTGTGCATGTCTGCATGACTAAGCATGTGTGCTGACACTGGCTGTAGAAGCTTTTTTTTTTTTAATTTTGCCTGCAAACATCTTTATTTTACTTTTTGTTTTGTTTTAATTGATTACATTGCATCATGCGACACAGTTTTACAGGCACTGGGATTCCCCCCTCCCTTCCCCAAAATGCGCCCTCCCCGGCCTTCTCCCCCCGCAACCCCCCCCCCCCCCGCAGTTGAGCTTTTTTCCCTTGCAAGCATACTGTAGAAGCTTTGAAGCTCTGTGTGGCCTGTGTATGTGGTGTTGCATCTTGCTGTGCATTTCTGACAAGGGTTGAACACACTGACATGTCACGTTGCATGTGATAGGAATGGAATAGCTGTTCACCTGGTAGGGGAAAAGGAACAGAAACCACGTGGGACCTGGCAGTGGTTGTGTCATGTTTTGGGCTTTGCAAGTAGCTTCTTCTTAACATTATTCTCTTTCTTTTACAGACCCTGTGAAGAACAATAGCTACGTGATTGTTTTACCTATCGTTTTACCTGTTGCAGTGCTGATTTTAGATATAATTATTGTGGTTTACTGCAATCCAAAATGGTAAGGGACTGCTGAGCAGAGTTTAGCCCAGTCTTGAATTTGCACCAGGAGATCAGGGTCCCAGTCTAGAGTGCTGTTGACGAGTCCTCAGAATTGATGCGAGGCTGTTATACATGTGGGTGGTTTTCCTTGTGCTGGGGAAGAAGTGTTCCATGTGATTTCCATGTGGTGTTGGGGCTCTGGGAGGATGCAGTGGCAGCTGCCCTCTGTCTGTGTGCTGCACAGGCTCCCTGTGAACTGAATCTGAGCATGCCTTTTCTGGCCAGAACTTGTACCTGTATGTGTAGACCAATATGTGTAGACCTGTGTCTGCTGTTGTCACTCATTGTGGGCCTTATCAGAGAGAGGTTTTCCTTCCTAAAATTGCTTGTATTATGTTAATGTGTCAGTTGGCCTACTTACTACAGTCTTTCACTGACCTGCAGTCATTCATTTTTGTTTGACTGATGCTACATGTTTCCAAGTGTTGATGAGATGATTCAGGATAGTGAAATTGCTCCCAACAAGGCATGGTTCTGTCATGCTGAAATGGTGAACAGGAGCTGACCAGCTCATTGGAAATGCTTCAGGGAAAGGGGAATGATGTGTTCTTACAGGTATAAGGCTGCTTATCTAAAGTCAGCGGACTGATTCCTGGGACCAGTTCTGGTTGGAGCAAAGACAATAAGAGAGCAGGATGTAAAGCTGTTTTCAATTATATGCAATTGATGCATATTTCTGTCTTTCCCTGGTCCTGATATCCAGGTACAAACAGAAAAAGCAGACATCCACTAGCATGAAAAAGATTTATGAAGCCGTGGACCAGATCTGAGGCACGGGGGTTTGTTGCTTGGAAAGCGAGCCATCCATATCTGTGTGCTCCTTCAAGTTCTGTTTGCTCTGCTCTCCATCCAGCTTCCTACTCATGCCCCAGAGAAAGCAGTGAATGATGACTAATGCCTGGGTCCCTATCACCTATCCAAACAATCTGGATGGAGTTCCTACCTCGGGGCTTTGACTCAGCACAGACCTCTGAATGTAGCCGTGTTACCTCGTAGTGCCTTCCATCATGGACTACAGCCTTGACTGTATGCTCAATCCCATGACCTGCTTCATCCTATGCAATGAAACAGTAGTGGATGTGTGTCAGTCCCAGCCTAGACCTCAGGAGGCCATGTGCATTCATCCTTGGACTTCTGTGATGCTTCTGACCTTGAGCAAGTGCCTAGTCCAAGCCTGACTGCTGGTGGAAAAGGGAGAGACCAGAAGCAGAGCCACATCATCCTGCTTGCTCTCAGGACACCAGCCTGGATCACTGGAAGCTCTGTAACAGCACTTGAACACCCTAGCTGTGGTCGGAGGAGCCTCAGAGTCACCTCTCTCCATTGCAGCAGGAATATTTATGTCAAAAAGCCAATGTTTATGGTTTGTTTGTTAGGCAGCATAACTCACTGATAGAGCTCCTTACTGATCCTTCTCTTAGGCAGTTGCCTCATAAATGTTTGAGGAAGTAGCAGATGGTGGCCCAATGCTTGGGCTGCTGTACCCCTAGGGGAACTATGGAAGAAATTCCTGGTTGCTGGTTTCAGCTCAGATCATCTCTGGCCTTAGTTGCTATTTGGGCATTGAACCAACAGATGGTAGAGTTGTCTCTTTCTGCCATTCTTCATCTGTTAATCTGCCTTTTAAGTCACTTCAATAACTGTTGAAGAACAATTGGAATTGATGAAATGAAGTAAAGTATCAAGAAAGGTGCACCTAATCTGCACACCTAGCTTGCCAGATTGAGAGAATGACATAGTACTGTAGTTTTAATGACACTGTGACTATTTAAACTGTCAGTAATTTTAGTTGAACCAGGTCAATTATTATTTATTCCATTGACTCTTTTTCTTGCTGGACTAACTTATTTAATTTATTGAACTCTGTCATGTGCCAGCAAAATAAAGCTTAGAGTATAAGGTGAAATGTTTTTTTAGAGCAGCAATAAAGAATATACTAATTTTGAATAAAGTCTGGTGTCCTTGGTGGGGGAGCCGGTGGTGTGGGGGGAGGAACCTGAGGCCACTTTGTGTGGCAGAGAACCACATTTCCTGGTTAGGAGGCAGGTGACTGCTGGATACAGGCTCATCAGGGCCTGTGGCTGATGGAAGCTGATGGCTGCACTGATGTGTGTGGTGCCTCAAACAATGGTGGGACAGACCGGAGCACTGCAGGTGCTCTCTCCTTGTCCTGTTGGCATCATTGCCCACAAGGGAGAGATTTGCGGCAAAGGGAAATACAGCAGTTCACAGCCCTACACTCAAGTGGTCACTGGGCATGGCTGGAGTGGCACTGGGGGGTGTGTAGGGAGCACCTGCTTCCCTCTCTGTGAAGATAGTGTCCCAGGTGGTGTTCATGGGGGAGAACTTGGGAATCTCCTGAAATATGCATGGCCAAGCTGTCTGTTGATCCAACCACTCCAGGTGGACATAGATGATTGGCATCTGTAGGCCAGTTTGGATGCCTGAGCTGGCAGAATGGCAATGTAGAGAGAGAGTGGGCCTAGGAAAAGTTGGGTGAGTCATGCCCAGACAAGTAAGGGGTGCATGTGGTGGACTCCATGTGGGCCTCAAGGTGAAATCGAAGGCAGATCCGAATCCTCAGGCATTGGTTCTTGGCAGTTTTGTAGTGAGCCCGCTGGTCGTTTTTGCAGACTGGCAGTTCCATTGCTGGAGGAGAATGACCTGGCTTCCCTCCCTTGCAGAGCTCCAGACTGAAGCCCAGAACCTGCATCCCAGCATTCAGGGAGCTGTGACCGGATATAGCAGGTGTCCTCTCAGGCTGCCCTGCCCCTGGGACTGGCTGGGGAAGAGCACCCTAGTAGGCGGGGACAGTCCTCCTGTAAGACTTCCCCAGGCCCTGGACCAGAGCCAGAGTTCCAGAGGTGCTAGACCTGACATTGGGACTGTCACAATATGCTGAACCAAAGTTCTGTCTCAAGGCAGGGCTCACAGGGCAACCCAGGGGATTCCTTTTTAGTTGCTGCTGTTTTTGTTTTTGTTAATTTTATTGGCAATAATGTTTGTCTAGTTGATCGGGGTAGGAAGGGTCGAGGATCTGGGGTAGTGAGACCCTTGTTTATACATTTTCTTCTTGTTCTTCGCATGTATAGTGGAGAGGGGGGTACAAGAAATTTTGGATATAAGGTAAAATGTTATTTCAGAAGAGCAATACATAATTTACTAATTTTGAATAAAGTCCGTCAAGCTTCCCAGCGGCTTCATCATCCAGAGGATTGAGGAACTGCCACCTGACGTCAACCCAAGTTTCCTTTCGTGGAGTGTTTTCTGGAGGTTTGTTCATGTATTCTTGATAGTTCTGAGATGCAGCTGATATCACTGCTCCATGGATGAAGGAATCTTTCTGAGGTCAATTGGCTGTCATAGTCTGCGTCTGAGTCTCCATTGGCCCAGAAATTTGCTGTCAAACTTCACTGGGGTAGTTGATCCATCCTCAGCATACCAATGAGTTCTATGGTCCAGCCCAGCCCAGGCCAACACATGCTTGATCCTCACGTACTGCAGGGGGAGCTGCACCCCAATAACCTCCACTGGACCGA